TCGTCGTAACAGACTTCATCTCAGTATTCGAGAGCTTTTTGTACCGAGTACAGTTTTGACATATGTGCAGATGGACAGACGAAACATTAGGGTCCGTTGGTGGAGGTTATGTCGTAGCAGCTGAACCGATTAATTCGTCGATGGAAATATCATTGTTTTGCTTTCCATAATCATTTGTAGTTGGCTGTAGCTTGCGAGGATTCTTCCTGTATAATACAGACCTCCAAAGAATGTCTTAAGGATGTCTAGATATGTCTCTATGTTCTTTGAACATTCTAAAGATTATGTGTTTCTTGTAATGTAACTAATGTACGTTAGTTGTAATGGAAAGTAAGCTGCTATCGTTGCTATTAGATATTTGTTAGAATGGAAGATAAAGAAAAAAGAAAGAAGAAAGGAGCATTCCATAGAAACTCGTACTTATGTATATATTTGTCAACATCAAGTACATATTTTTTTTCTGCTTGTAGATCTTGGACATCTGCATGGGAACCAAAGGTAACACGCATCTGGGCAAGAAGCAATTCTATGCAGTGCTGAAACTCATTGCGGTCCACCAGGCTGGTCTGGAAGTCTCCAGAGATATGATAACTGCATCTTTGGATGTTATTACTTTGCCAAGATTTACATGGCCAACCTCCGGTGATGAGGAAGGCAGAAGGAGTCCAGACATAACTAGAGGAGCAAAGAGTAGACATCATGCCCCTGAGAGCACTACCGAAAGTGAAAGCGAAGCAGAATCCCCACGTGAGACTGGTGGTAGCACAGATTCTCCTACACCGACGAACAGCGTGACTCAAGAGAGAAATGACGGTATGCTGGGTGGCGAGACAATTCTGGATTCTGTTTCCGGAGGTTGGCAAGGCTTATTAGTTTCTGAAGAGCAGAGACAACTGTTAGGCACTGAAGAGGAGAGCTCGGAGCGTCACAGCAGCGACGAAGGTGATGGGGAAGGCGATGGCTCTGGTTTTCCACCAGAGGAAGTATGGATTATCAGTGACGAGCAGCGTGATTATTACGCTGCGCAATTCGCGCAGCTGCAGTCTGATCCGGAGGGTCTTCTAGCCGGGTCTGTAGCCAGAACATTTTTCGAAAAATCACGGCTTCCTGTTTCGGAGTTACGACGTATTTGGCAGCTCGCGGATGTCACGAGGGACGGGGCGCTCAGTTTACAAGAATTCTACGTGGCTATGCATCTCGTCGTACTGAGGAGGAACCATGTGCCCCTGCCCGACGTTTTACCTCCGTCCTTGTCGATCCTGTTAGTCATGCAAACAGCAACAACTGCCGCGCCGCAAATCTCATCGGCGACAACTGCTCAAAAATCACCACCGAACTCCGCGAACGCTCGCGAGAAGAATAAGGAATGGACAAAGTTCGTGGACTCGCCAACTGGAGCGAGCAGCTCCTCAGTCACTAGTCCAGGATTGCAGCTGGTGAATTTCGATTTCCAAAAGTCAGCTGTTGAACGCGACCCGAAGATTTTGCATCCAGTACCGTTGCGCTTAACGCCTGAAGCAGCGATTCTCGCTTCTGGTGCTAATGGTAGCAGTAGCAGCTGCACAACCTTGGGAGATGACGATCTGCAACATTCTGCAGCGTCATTAGTGCAACGACCTCTCGCAAAGAAACCGTCTGCTACTCCCGAAGACGCTGTCATCGTGACTCCTAAAAAGGAACCACCACCTCCACCGCCACCCAGACCGTACAGAACACATGCGCGCAGTTCTAGTCTCGATCTTAATAAATTAGGTATATATATTATCCAAATTTCGATATTACAATTACGAAACAAGTCTTATGTTATGAACTTACATATTTTGATAGGAAAAAATGGTCAAAGTTTTCTTGGAGCGCCGCCGCTTGTACCACCTAGAATCTCTCCAGGAATTGTAAGTTTTTTGTATACGACACAATTTTTTTATATCTTTTTAAAGGATTGAATATTTTATTCTACATACTTGTAAAAAATATTATAACTTTCTTTAAACGGTTTTTAAGTGAGGAATTATAATGATTCGTTTTTGCTGCAGACTTCGCCTCGTAAATTGGTCGGCCAAAGGAGCGAAGGTGAAGGACAAAGAACATTAAGCGAAAGTCAAGCTTTTGTCGCTGACTTCTCTCATTTTTCTCCTAAGAGTGAACTGCCTGAAAATACGTTATCATCCATAGAAAACACGATACCACAATCTCAACAATTCACTGGAGTCTGTGGAGCATTTCATATTTATAGAAAACCGAGTCCAAGTAAGAAATTATCTCATTATTTATAAGTTTAAATATAATGATTTTTTTTAAGTATTAAAGATACTTCTAAAATAGATGCTTTAAACTGTTTTTTCGATCGTATCTTTATTTTCCGTAATTACTTATATGCTTAATAATTAAAATATAATTCTAACAGAACGAGATGGTAGCGAAGAAGAGAATAAGAACGAAGAGGATGAAAAGAGGTTAACCTTACAAGAATTAAGGGAAAAGAATGCGGAACTACGCTTAGTCTGCGAAGAACTGACACGTGAATTGGCTAGCGCGCTCCAAGAACGTATAAATCTGCGTGCAAAACTCTTGCTCTTGACTTGATGTGATTACTATTCGCTGTCATTCACTTGCTCGAAGCTACGAGATATATCTCTTCAAATCATTGTAAACACATGTATTTAATACGTTATGCTAGTCTAGAATTCCTCTTTTCTCAATGAAGTATTCATTCACGTTCATAACGATCAATATAGACAGACAAATGCGGCAGGAGACGCGATTTACAAAAAGAAACATGCATAGATATTTTATACTTGAGATTGAAAGAATGACTATGACATAAATTATGAATCATGTATATACAAAACTGAGATTACGATCTCTAAATTGATATATAACAAACGAATTTGCTTTTGTCGAGTTTACTAGCTATTGTTCACATTTATATGTAAAAGTGTTAAAATATTCACTCTGGTTTAAAGCCTGCGCTATCGAATTCCTCCCTGTGATTTACTGACTTGTACTATGTTTTGCATTGGAACTTCCTTTTTTATCGCTACGAATTTATATATATTTCCAGCATACCGCGCATACAAATGCATCTATCACATCGTTCTATCTGAGTATAGATATTTGAAACTTCTGATTGTGATTTCTATGCACAAAAACTTGTTAACTTTGTTAATTTTATATAAGGATTATATATTTCATATTCTTCTGTAAACTGATGAATCTCTTCTAAAGAGCTTTGTTCGCCGTAAACGAAACTATAATATGTATTTTGTATCGTATTTGTAAAAATGAATAAGTTATATTTATTGTTTGCAACAAAATCGAATTGTATTTCGAATTGAATTTTCGTACTATATAAAACTTTTACGAAAAAATGGCATTGATGGAGAAATGGAATAATCAGGATTGTTACGAAGTTATTTTATTCCGTGATAACAATAAGTACCTATAAAATGCCTGTTAAACGTTGAAGAAAGATATATACGAGAAAAAAGTGGAATCTGCAGGAACAGAATACTTCAAAGATAAATTTATATAGATATATGATGCTCATAATCAATTCACGTTGAATACATCGATTTTGATGTAGCAATTCTTTGAAATGATTATAGCAATTCCTATTATTATTGCTGTAAGTTGATGCAAACTAAGGTCTGAGAAGAATATAGATCTATCAAAGTCACGTCCGCAAAAGTTATTCGATAAAAATCGAGTTAATATAATAATCGTCATTCATAATATCTAATAATAGCGATTATTCAATAGATATAGAATTGCTTTATAGAAAAAATTTTACTCTATTATTTAAATAAAATTTCCAACTTCCTGCTCTTCAAAAAAACTAAATTCTCGATTAAAATTCAATCTCCGTGACTCAGCTCTATATAAATCTTAGCGCATTATATATAAATCGCTATTTTTATCCGATTAAATATATATCATTCCTGATTAACGTTAAGACCTTCATCACATTTTCCAAATTTTTACTTTTTCCTATAAATAGCGGATAAATCAATTTGCCAAGCGACCGTCGTTACTATAAATAACTCTTTGTGCCATATAACGTGAAATTTTGAAGTATATATATTATAATCAGTAATATCGTCTTGTCAAATATTACAAGACTTAGAAATAAAAGCTTGAAAAATCAACGAGTCATGCAACAAAGATTTTTTTGTAACTATATAAAATATTGTGTAAAAATTATAGAAAATTAATACTTATATCAGAATTGTCTCTGATTTATTGTCTGCAGTCCTGTAAAAAAGAGATGTAACAATGTAGAATACATATACAGAAATGTCTGTCAAGTATGAATAAAAAAACTATTTTAGTTTCATAACAATTTTTATTGATGTCATTGTGTGAATGGAAAAATATTATGCAGAAGAAAAAAATTAGAAATACTTGTAATATATATTCTCTTGAATATAAATGAATGAATGATGCAAGTTGAGAATTGCAATTGCAATTCTATACAAGTAAAACTTCCATGGTGACGTACTGTGATGAAATTCGATGAATAAAATCGCGATAATAAATTTAATACGATAGAATCAAAATATCCTATTGTCATACACACTTCTGATTTTATGTAATGTTTATTTTGTGACACTGCAGGTTCTACTATATAACAAGTTAGAGTATTTATATTTGTTTTATTAGCAAATTGACTGTAATAATAACGAGATAAATATGTATATAGATTAGATATGAACACTATATAGAGCCTATTTTATTTTTCATATTTCAATCACCGACGAATAGATATTACTTTAATTAAAATTCTATTAATTGTGCGAGAAAGAACGTACGTTCTAACATTTTTTATATTTTGGAGAGATTCCTGCTAGAAGTTAATAATGACGCCGATTAATACAGTGTTTCTTACATCAACTTGTTTTTATAATGATATGCTCCACACAGTGACTTCGTACGGCGAGGCCGGAGCTAGGAGGACACAGATGAACAATCGACTTCTGAATACTATTTAGTTGTCCTTGCTTTGCATGAACTTGATCAAGTCGATGACTCGGCTAGAATAACCGAACTCGTTGTCATACCACGAGATCAGTTTCACGAAGTTATCATTTAGAGGAATGCCAGCCTTGGCATCGAAAATGCTAGAGTGGTTGTCACCAATGAAATCGGCCGAGACAACGTCGTCCTCAGTGTAACCCAGAATACCCTTCAGAGGACCATCAGCAGCTTCCTTCACTTTGGCTTTGATAGCGTCGTAAGAGGCGGGCTTGCCGAGTCGGACCGTCAAGTCGACCACAGACACATTGTGTACGGGTACACGGAAGGCCATGCCAGTAAGCTTCCCGTTGAGAGCGGGAATGACCTTGCCAACTGCCTTGGCAGCTCCAGTTGCAGCGGGAATAATATTTTGTGCTGCACCACGGCCGTCACGCCACAGCTGTTACCGGAAAAGCATAATAAATGTGTTATATAACAATAATCTCGAATAATCTCTCTTGCTAAACAGCTATGCATGATATATACCTTGCCAGAAGGTCCATCAACGGTCTTCTGAGTGGCTGTAATCGCGTGTACAGTCGTCATGAGGCCCTCAACGATCTCAAAGTTGTCGTGGACCACCTTGGCGAGAGGTGCTAAGCAGTTTGTAGTGCACGAAGCGTTGGAGACGACTTTGCAGCTTGGATCATAAGCTTCCAAGTTCACACCGACGACGAACATCGGCGCATCAGCTGATGGGGCGGAGATGATGACCTTTTTGGCGCCGCCTTCTAAGTGAGCCTGCAAATGCATTAAAAAAAAAAAAAACATTAAACTCAGATGTACTAAAGAATTCTACTGAAAGTATGAATTTTGTTTTATTTCACGTACAGATGCTTTCTCGATGGTCGTGAACACGCCAGTCGATTCGACAATGTACTCAGCGCCAGCCTTCGCCCATGGAATTGCCTTCGGTTCGCGCTCGCTGAAGACAGCAATCTTGTTTCCGTTTACAACCAGACAGTTGCCTTCAGCTTTGACTTCTCCCTTGAACTTGCCGTGGGTGGAGTCATACTTGAACATGTAGACCATGTAATCGAGACCGATGAAGGGGTCATTGATGGCGACAACCTGATTGACAGAGATTTCAGATTAGTAAAACAAATATGATCCGGCTAATTTTGTAGAACTATCTTCCTTTCATACCTGACCACCGCGCTCCAGAGAAGCCCTCAGCACGAGACGGCCGATACGACCAAATCCGTTAATTCCGATTTTGCTCATGTCGTCTTGATTGCAACTGGAAAATCGGACAAAAACATTACAAGACACTGCGCAACGACCATGCATTCTCCGCGTGATTGCAATCAACGAAATCGGCGAAATCGTGTGAAATACATGCGAGAGAATTAGTCTCATCATTAAGAACTATTATAACAAATTATTGGTTAGAACTAAATAGATGTACGACGTATGGTGATCTATCATTTGCTTCCCCGCCATTTTCAAAATCAATCATGTTTCAAGGATATTTATAAATATCACATACGTGAAAGTTGATATTGATCGCGTAGACGCAACTGAAAACTATCAATGCTTTATCGTATCAGTCTATTAGTCTATTTTATTTTATTAATCGAACATCATATTGTAGAGATAAAAAGTGTTTCGCATTATCAGTATTCTGTATTTAAGATTGGATTTGTCACCAATGGACAAATTAAAAAATCTTTCCCTTGTATTATTTATTGCTAAAAATACAATGGAGTTATAAATGTAATGTAAACGTAACGGAATTGTCGGAGTTATAAATGTAACGAATTTATCACATAGATTCACAGATGCTTATATAATTTTGCGACGTAAACATAATTTAGTCTTGAATGTATTTTTGAGAATATAGCTAGAGGTGAGAACAGGCTTGGCATAAGCCTTGATGGCACGACGTATGATTGGGCACCGGCGAATCTTATAGGTCAGGCAAGGTTAAAGGGGTGTGTCTCAAGTTCCTCGACATCCCGGCGTCCCTGAAAATGATCCTGACCTTGCGTGCGTGAGATTATTGAATCGGCGACTCGATAAAGCTGACGTAAATCGTCGCGCATCGCGATGCAATATCAATTGCATTCCTGACGTTTGTAATTTACATCAAAGGAAATCTATTCGGATTTTTAACAACTTTGACTAAGTCTCAATTAACTATTTAATCGATGCCTGCAGTATTTAACAAAGATTGAGTTACTACTTTTTCTTCTTGATACATGGAAGAAAGATTAGATTAGAGAATAAATAAAAAAAATTCTGTTATAAAAATTAATCACTAATTGAGTTAATCGAAATTTTATTGAAATTATCCTCATTATTCAAATGCATAGAAGTCGAAAATTACGATATTTATAATTTTGCGCAATCAAATTTTTTATAACAAAAACGTAACCTATTTTTATAACTAATGTTGCAACTAGATTTTAATCGTATTTGAGAGAAATTACGATGGTTTGATATTTATTTATATAATTAAAAACAAACTAATTTTTCTGTCACAGATATTAGTTTAAAAACTTCTTTTTTATAGTAATAGATGCCAAATTTTATTCTCAAATAATTATATCATTACATATTATTATTTGAGATGCAAAATCACGTTTATTATACACTTAAAATAATAATTCCTAATAAGCTTCTGAAATATAATTGATTAAAAATATATACCTGAAGATAGAAGTATAGCTGGGCTTGATAAATAATAAGAACCTACCAAATCGTATGAAATAAATATTTAACAGTTCAACAGTTAAAATGGAAAATTTTTAATCAAAATCGTCCAAAATCAATGATATAGTAACGCAGTACATTTAATGCACATAACGATAATTAATTTTATAGGACTAATGCTTGTTAATTGTGGATTTTCATCAATGTAGACTAACTTTAATCTCATTTATCTTATATACTCTTCATTTTTTTCTAATCTAATTCTTAAAACTAGAAAAAGAAAGTTGAACCGATATTAAAGTTAATTCTATTAGTGGAAGCAGATAGAAGGATGATATTAACAGTTCAATCTTATATTTGTATTATAAATAATTTATGTATCTTAAATTGCATTGATTGATTTAATCAATGACTGAATAATTTCTTGAGATTATGTTCACGACTATCTTAAATATAAGCTCAAATGCCGTTCCAACAATACTCTGTTAACGTATGCCTCCTAGTCATATGCGTAATGTCTCTTATTACATTGTAATCGTAGACGTTAGTATAACAGTGTAATTGTTGAGCGATAATATTGATCGCGTGAGAACCGTCTAACGATCGTCATCTGCGTCATTAAATGAAGGGATTCTGTCGAATTTCAACGAGCGTGTATGGACGGCAAGGAAAAGGTATCACACTATCCGTCGTTACATCATCTCCTCGACTTTATCACATCGCGTTTCTCGAAGGCTTCTTTGCAGAAATACAACCGAAATATTCTGCAGCTGCCGCGACAGCAAATACTGGTCCAATCAACGTCACGAGAAATGGCCGGTGCGACTTACGCCGTGGGATGGCAGACGCGATTTGCGGTTACGTGTCACATATAATATTTGGGCCAAAAATGATGGGCGAACGAACGATTAGCAACGGATGATGATAATGGATTCACTAGGAGTAGGAAGAGTAAGAAAGAGATAAAACGGGAGTATACTTCAAATAGAAAAGATACTCACTGCGTACCGAAAAGACAGTTCCACTCGTTCCGGTTACTAACGAAGTAGTGTCATTTGAAGGGCACGGATGCGATATAAAAAACGGTGCTTCGTGTCTAGTCGCCGATGTTCGGAAGCCCACGTGACTTGATTATCGATTGTCGACATGTTGACGCGCCGCG